CTCTCTCTCTCTCTCTCTCTCTCTACCTCTCTCTTCTCTACTCTCTCTCTCGCCCTCTCTATTCTCTCGTCGCATATTGTCTCTTTTATCTGTCTCTCTACCCTCTTCCCTGATATTTCTATTGCCCTCTCTCTCGACTCACTCTCTTTATCTTGTTTTCTCTTTATCCATTCTCCCCTCTTCTCCACTACTATCACTGGTTCTATTCTTCTCATAACACGCAGTCTTTCAGACGGCCCCACAAACTCTCTCGCTATGGCTTCGCCCGCCTAGTCTGCTTGGTTTCGGCGAACTATTTCTAAACTCAGATTGCCATTTTCATATTAATTTTCGTTATTTTCGGGAAGAGGTCTGCGAAATAAATATTCATTAGCTTTTATTCAATCCTCCTCCTCCCCCTCTCGTCTCTGGTCTGTCTCTCTCTCTCTCTCCTCTTTCTGTCTCTCTCTCCCTCCGCCTGTCCTCCCTCTCATCTCTCTCCTCGGCTCTCTCTCTCTCTCTCTCTCTCTCTCGCTTTCTCTCTCTCTCTCATCTCTCTCTCTCTCTTCTCCTCTTTCTCCATCTACTTCCTCTGACATCTCTCCCACCTCTCTCCTCCCTCCCCCTCTTCTCTCGCTACAGACGGGGAGGACATTGCAAGCACCACGCTATCGGGGAGCACACACTGAAAAGCGCCACAAGTCAGTCAATTCAATTGATCTGCGGCCGATGCGCTGTTCCTCAATGGCAACACTCGAACAACGACGGACATGTCCTCAACAAAAGTCAGCCGCGCATATCTATTCACAAATGATTCGCGCCACCATTACCGTCGCGTCGGTCTGCGACCGCCTTACAGCGCGAGCAGGCCGTAACGGATATACGTAGCTTCGATTTTCGATCTGTGGACGCTATGCGCTATAGGACTCAGCGTGTTCGGCGCTACTCTGGGACAAGATGGAGAGGCGGTCATTCGTCGCGCGAGCCATGAAATTCATCAGCGTACGGCATTCACCACGGGCAACACACGGACGCCAGTCTAGCGAAGAACGCCACGCACGTCTTTTCGTTTCCGACACGATGTGATGTTCACGCGCCACCCACCGCTCCATTGCCTATTTAGCATCCTCCAGGCACATTCGTATTTCTAAATTTCTTATATGTTTTCCGCATGTTTTTAAATTTATCCACGTGTATCCTACCTTATAGCACGTTTTCCATATGTATTTTACCTTTATCCAGTACTTCCTCCTATTTCTATGTTTCTCCCTGTGTTTTTACCATTTAAACGTATTCTCGGTTATTCCACTTATTCTGATCATGCCACAATTCTGCTATTCACACTTACTCGGTGCATTCCCAACATATTCTCGTATTCCACCACTTTCCTCGATATCGCCCACTATTTTCCCTCGGTATTCGCCACACATTTCCCTCGTATTCCCAACATCTACTTCGTTTTCACACACTTCTCGTATTCCCACACATTCTCGTATTCACATATTCGCTCGGTATTCCACAACACTTCTCGCTAATTCCCACCCAGTATTTCCTGTATTCCTAGCAACATTCTGCGTTCCCGACAATTCTCCTAGTATTTCCCACAGTTAGTTCCTCGTATTCCCAGACATTCCTCGTATTCCCACATATTCATCACCACACGTTCAATGCGATCACCCAAACCAAATTCTCTCTTTCTTCCTCACTTATCGATATTATATACGTATTTACGCCAATAGCTAAGCTAGTAGGGGCTTGCAGAGCCGGGCTATTTATGTAGAAAGAAAGCCACGAATGCAACATGAATAAATTAAAATACACACACACACGCGCGGACGCGTGCACGCACAACACAGGCACACTATGCGCAAGCACGCACAGCAATCGCAGCCACACACACAAAATACGCACGCCACGGCCAACCATACACAACACACGCAAGCACGCACGCACGCACGCACAAACACACACACAACACACGCACACCCACGCCACAGAACACACGGCGCAACTCACCGCACCGCACGCACGCACACACACACACAAACATACTAGTATATATATTATATACTACTACAAGAGTTAGATAATACCTTATGTTACCTTAAATTTAAATATAATGCTTAATTAGAGGTTATTATTAGCTCTCTGCTATATAATATATATATAACTTTTTTTTTTTTGTTTTTTTTTTCTTTTTTTTTATTTTCTTTTTTCTTCATTTTTTTATTCATATTTTTTTTTATATATCATATTACTATATATATACCTGAATGATAATGTGGTCTGTTACGTAATTAGTGACCAACAAGTCAACTGATAGACGGTCGGTGTCCTATACTGCGGCTTGTATTAGCGTGAGGAGGGAAACGAGAAATAGCTAGATTGCTTAGACCTTGCCTACCTCCTTGGTACGCACCGCGTAGCACGCCTAAAACCGGACGACGGTCATCAAATACACCTGCAATGGCAAAGCCGCAAAGCACACGCCCGTTAATCCATCCAATTAGATGCTTGACACAATACAACGTTATAATTAAAGCCCAATTTTGAATATCGACTCTACCATGCATGCTCGCTCTTTCAAATTTGACGCTGCTGTGTGCGCGTAGCGTAGCAGCCACATGACTGTGCTGTGAGTGTTGTGTGTGTGTGTGTGGTGTGTGTGTGTGATGATGATGTGCGAAGCTCCTTGGTGTAGTGTGTTGGTGTAGAAGACGAGAGAGTAGCAGTGTCGCGCCTGTGTCGGCGGTGTGCAAGTGTGTGTGTGTAAGGTGTGTGTAGTTGTGACCCGGGCGATGTGATGTCAATGTGATGTGTAGTGATGTAGGATGTGTGTTCGTGTGTAGTGCGTGTGTGAGAGTTGTGTGTCGTGTGGTGTGATGTGATGGTGAGCTGATGTGCTGTGTCTGTGTAGTGGTGGCGGCGGTTGGCGCGATGTGCGGTGCAGTGCGCCCGTGTGTGCGTCATGCAGAGAGAGAGAGACAGAGCACGAGAGAGAGAACCGAAACGGAAAACGCAGAAGACAGAGAGAGAGAGAGAGGGAGCATATGAGATCGAATGAGGCAAAGAGCGCAGCAGAGACAGAGCAAGAGACTGTTGTGGCGTGGGTCGCCAGCGACTGTGAGAGAACAGTGGCACGCGTGTATTGGCTTGGGTTTACATGACAGTGAAAAAGCTCTATCGGTGAATTCTGACTATGCATCGCATCCACGGGACGTGACGGGATGTTTCGTAACTGGTTGATTCGCTATAATGTATAATCTGAACTGTGAGCAGCCAATTATACAAGATGTGATGGCGATCGACGCACAGCCGAGAGCAGCAACAGCGCACACAGCGTGCGAAGCAGCGAACAAGGCAGCCAGTAATGGGTAGTGAAGTAGCGCCACCACGAATCGGATAGCAGCACCAGCCACCAGACCGCCGCCGAGAAGCCAGTAGAGTAGCTCGCACACAGCACCACACGCAGCCACGCCCACGCCACCAGGCCACCGGCACCGGCAACGCCAACCGCCGACGCGCCACCGTACAACCCAAGCAATGAGCCAGAAGAAGCAACACGTTTTAGCAGGCACCAGCAGCAAGCCAGCCCCCACCAGCCCACGCACCACCAGCCGCGACACGTATGACCAAGGCAGCAACAGCCCAGCAGCAGCAGCGAGCAACAATAAAGCAGCGGCAGCATGCAGCCCACCCACCACCGCAGCAAACATCGCAGCAGGCAGCAGCGCAGCAGCGAACACGAGCAAACCAGCAGCAGCAGCAGCAGCCAGCAACCGCGAGCCACGCCAAGCAGCGCAGCACGCACCACACGAATCAGCCGCGAGCAGCACAGTTAGCGGCACCCCCATCAGCGCACAGCGAGCCAGCCAGCCTAGCAGCCAGGTCAGCAGGCCGCCGCGCCGCCACGACCACAGCCGCGACACCATCGAGCGCAGCACCGTACCACGCGCAGCTCAGAGCAGCAGCGAGTACACCACACCACCAAGCAGCGCCGCACAGCCAGACAACCAGCAACCACCACCACCAACCAGCACACCAGCACCACCACACCGCCCACACAAACCGACCAGCACCACAACACTACCCACACCGCACACAGCGAAGCGAACAGCGCAGCAGGCAACTAACACGCGCAGCCAGCACAACCACCACCACCACACAGCAAATTAGCAGCGCCGAGCAGCAGACAAC